CTCTCTCTCTCTCTCTCTCTCTCTCTCAACGCTACCTCACACCTGTAAAGTGAAATGTATGGATCTGATTACAAGTGGCCTTCGAAGATAGCGGTAACGCACGCAGGCGAGAAACAGCGAATGAATGGTTTAGGACAGAGAGGAGGCGATTGCGCCCGTGCACATCAAGATGCAATCAAAGACTACATGCGATTAGAATACACAACCACGACATCGGAAGACGCATCATCGCCATGTCCTCCACTGCTGCGCGTTCTTCTCAACGGAATCGTTCATATCTAGCTTTCGCCATGCTCTCCCTCCCGTCTTCCATTACCCGCTCATCGTTCCCTTCCGCCCCTTTCCCGCGCGTCATCTGGCTACTCCTGCGCAACCCCCCCCTGCGAGCTCTGTCGTTATCCGCCCTGCCGTTACTGTAATCGGGCGGACTTGAACTGCTAATTTCTTGGTCAATGGTCGTAAGCATGTGTGGCACACTTTCCCCACCAACGTACTCTCTCCCTTTCCTAACGCGTGTCCATGCAGGCGACGTAGCTAACCCCACCCCGCTGTCGCCCGCTCTTTCTTTCGCCGTCTTCTCCTCCTACCGGTAGCCAGCCTTGTCGCCACCAACGCCCGACGAGGAGGACATCATCCGTCTTCCGCGATCCCTTCCTCCCTCTACCTCGTCCGGTCTCAGGCAAACGAACATTGGGATCGCCGCGGCCCAACTATGGGATGGTATCCGTCAGGGCGCAAGCGGGGGAGTGGTTTGGTTGGGAGAGTTGGGGCCTCGCTCCACTACTCTGCCACTACTCTCGACATGCACAAAAGACAAAAATCATGGCGGTGTATTTTTCCACTGGTCTAGCGGAAGATTCGCTGTCGTTTTGCACATTTCGAGAGAAGGGGAGCGAGGCCCTTGGACTTTGGACTTGGACTGGCACGGCAGGATCCAGTCGGTCGGTCGGTCGGTCGATCTGAAGGCCTGTGACAACTTTTGGCACCGTACTTACCGCCGACGGTCGGTCCATAGGCGTGGAACCAGCCCGCCCAAAAGCTCGGCGGAAAACCGCGGAAAAGATTCCGACCCCGCCAAAAGCCCGACGTTCAGGGTCTCGTCGCACTACTCGCCATCAGCCAACATTTTGATTGCATGTGGACATCTCTTTGTCCAGATGCATTCGAAATCTTAGCGTGGCCACCAGGGGCGGAGGTCAAAGGGGGCATGGCGGGACTGATGAGCGACGGACCAGAAGCCCAAACGGCGCACTTTCCACTTTGGTATTTTTGTCTCCATCTGAACAGCTCAGACAACAGTGCCGTGCCGGCAGTCTGTCGCCCACAAGTTTCGCTCTCCGGTCTCTGCCTGTCGCAATATCCCTCTGCGCCTGTCAGGCTGCCGCTCTGCTGATCGTGCCAATCTGCTGCCTGCCTGGTACCTCCGGACGGAACGCGCCCCTTTTTTGGTCCAACTTCTCTGCTAACTAATTTAAGAGACGATGTCAAAGGGGCTGATTAGGGAGCCCTGAGTGGTGGTTTCATTGGTTGGTGCCATGTGGCCGCGCTTAGGTTGCAAGGAAATGCCGGTTTAGGGTCCCCGGCTCCGCTTTTGGAGCCGGTATCTGAGGATACGTAGGTAGTAGCCGTCAGGGTTAGGCTTGTGCTCCACTGGGGGGCGGGGGGGGGGGTAGCTGAAACTTTCCCCTTTCGTAATGAAGGGTAGGACCCCAGTGCTTGGCGATGCTTGGCACCTGGAAAACATCCGCCAACCCAAAATCGTAGCCAATGGGCATGGGCAAGAGAGAAGGGACTCCATGGCCACAGCACATTTCGGCACCTCCGGAGAAAACACGCCATTTCAGGCAAGTCGGCCGCCTCTTTTCCAGCACACTATCCAATCCCTGTGACTCCTTTCTACGGGGGAAAGGGGATGGCTAAATCTAGAGGAGAGTTTTGGCTGAATGAAAAGGTAGCCAAAACTACCCTCTACACCAAGAGCCTAGCTCAGTGGGTACACCCATGAACTGCTGAAATACAGACCTGTGTTCGAATCCAGATGATGGAACTTGACAAGTAAAACCAACTATACTAATGAATTGCTTGGGGCCGGTCAGCTCAATGATAATATCTCAAGGCCATCGCCCTCTCAAAAAAAAAAAAAAAACACTACCCTCTAGATTCAGCCATCCCATGGGAAAGGAGGACCAGGATTGGATGGTGTGCTGAAAAAGCAGAGGTAGGCAGAGTGGAACCGAAAATGATGGGGAATGGATGGTGTGCATAAAAAGCAGAGGTAGGCAGAGTGGAACTCAAAAGGCTTGTTTTTGCCGCCAACAATGGAGTCTCGAAAAATCTCTTCCAAAGTCTTGGCAGAAAGCAGTGGGGTCTTACCCTAAGTACGGCGCAGAAGCCGTAATAATTTTTGGGGCTCCACCTACCAGCCTTTTCGGGGCTATTACCAAAACAGTGCCTAGCAACATGGGAAAATGCGGCCTAGCTCAGTTGGTTAGGCATGCAAGTGGCATTCAGGAGCTGTGGATTCAAGTCCCATGACCGCCTGTGGCGCACTTAGTGCCAACAGACTGTGATAGTCCGCTTGATACCCCTGATCAGTATTAGTACGGTCTATGACCAACACAGGTGTGACTGTGAGTGTGAGCGTGAGTGGTTTGTGTGGTGTGTGGGAGAGTTGGCCATAGCCTCTGCTGCTACTCGATGGGGGCGGGGAGAGTAGATGGGAGGTGCAGCTACTGGCAAAATGCTCGGTCTCTGCATTTAAGCCGCCCCCCCCCACCGGCAGCCCCACCTACTCCCCTGACCACTGCCGATTAGGGCGAGGGGCAACATGCATCCCCAGTATCGGCCGTGGAAAAAAAAAAGAGTAGAAATGTTTCTTGTCGGATTAGGGCGAGGGGCAAACTGCATTTTAGCCCAGCTATCGGCCGTGGAAAAAAAAAAGACAAAAAAAAGAGTAGAATTGTTTCTTGTCGGATGAATTTGGGTGCTCCTGTAGTAGCCCGTACGTTTCCTAAAATCGTGGCACGTTAACAGGTACAACTCGAGGAAGTACTGGTGGTTTAATTGTGAGAGTTAGCTATGCTTGCAGGGGTCCCCTGTATAGGCTGAGTACTGGTGGGTAGATAGTGAAAGGTGATATTGAAAAAAAAAAAGAAAAATGATGCTTTTCATTTCCACTGGGGCCGGACTTGTGGCCTGATGCACTGCACTGTTTTCCTATGGGAAAAGATACGGTGAAACTGAGTACCCAATTTGAGGAGCACTAAATCGGCAGCTGATCGCGGGGAAAGGATGACAACTGAATTTTCAGCCATCCTAGGCTGAATTCCCGAAGGGGAGTTTCCCCATATTCGGCAGTGGAGGGCGGTTATACTATATTAGAACAGCTTGTCGTAGGTTTGGGGTTAGACTAGGTGGTGAGTTAGGGAGGTAGTTTTAGGATAAGGCAGCCTCAAGCTGGTCGGTTCTTGGAGTGTGCAGGTCCGCGGGCGTCAGCCCGTAAGCTAAGCTGGATGATGCTTCGAGTAATCTTTCCCGGGATGGATGTGAGATTCCCGGCCTCAATTTGATCAACGTAATGAAATTTAAATTTCAAGAACAAGAAGAAGAAAAAAATTGAGGGTGGACTCAATTGTGTGCCCAGCTCATATGGTGTACTATTCTTTGGCCTTTTACTAAGTAATATTATTGTCTGAGCACATTAAGGAGCTTACAATTTTTTTTTTACGACCCTTCACTCCATCGAGGCCGGGGTCCTCTCAGTCTACCCGGAATTAAACAATCTGGGAGCATTACCCAATTTCACTTACAGGCATAAAGCCTTTGAGGGGACCAGACCCCTGTCTTGACAACATGCAGACTAGTCATGGTCCGAGCAGCTACTGTGTAACCGTACTTTGGGCGTTAAACAGAAAAGGGGGGTTGCGAGAGGGCAGACCTACCTGCCGGTCTGTGTGGTATACGTTGCCAGACAGCGGAGGAGCGGAGGAGCAAGGAATGGGGAGCGGACTGTGACTTAGATGCCTATCTGCAGATTATTGTGCCACTTGTGTGGCTGAGTTGAAGTTGCGGCAGGGGAGCCGAAAGAGCGCAGACCGCTCAGTGGGGTGGTGGAACGCTCGTCCTTCCGACCGAAACGGCGCGATTCCGACTGCAGATTGGGTGTGGGCCAGGCACAGGCGGCAGTCTACGTGGTCACCTTTTGCGTGCACTTTGTCCGGCGCTGTTGACTGCGAGGTGCAGGCTTGGCTGTCGGCTAGTGCGTTGTTCACTCTACCGAACGAAGTGGTTGGGAGAGAGCCGCGAGCTCGCAGACGTACCCGTGACCAGTACACTTCGGGTCGCGAGCACCGCGGATGACTGAGTTCGTCAAGGAGAGGGGGGGGGTCTTTACTGCGATTTGAAGAGTCATCAGGGAAGTCAACAGTTGGCATTTTGACTCCGATTTAACCAGGTCACTGCGCATCCGGCCATCATTGCGGGGCCCTCAGGCGATTCGAGATATCAAGGCCCTCTCCTGCGAGTCTGAGAGCACCCTCCTTGGATCTGAGAGTCTAAAACTTCCTCCGTCTGCCATTCTCACTCCACTGGTCCTGAGAGGAAGGCGGCAGGCGGGATCGCAACCCGTAATCCGCGCCAAGGCCTCTGTGGAAGGTCGCCCCACCGATTGCAGGAGCTCTGCCGGAACTCAGGAGGAGTTCTGGAG